TTCCATCTCATTCCCATCAATGCCTTGTAGGTAAGCAATCTCAATAATCCCTGGTTTATCCTTCTGGTGTTTAATTCTGTACAAATAAGCAGATAGATGCATAATTCCTTTTTTTCCCTTATTTATTACACAAAAGGTAGAATACTAAGCATACTATAGATTCTTCCTTGCACGGTCAAAAAATATGTTAAGACACCTATGACTTGCATTCAGTTCTCTTTTGCATTTTCTTGACATTTCTTATATATCCCTGATGCCCTGTGACTAGAGAGCTGATAGAATCCTAAGTTCACTGAGGTAAAACTGTATAATAACACAATACAGGTGTGGTTTTAAAAAGTGATTTTTCTTTTTTACAGCTGCATAGTATTCCATTATGTAAAAATGCCACCTTTTTTTTATCCATTCATCTAATGATGGGTACTTGGGCTGTTTCCAGATCTTAGCTATTGTAAATAACCCTGCTATGATTTCAGAGGGAAGGGGGTGGGAGGGAAGAGATGAACCAATGAATTTATATGCATACATGCATAGCCCATGGACAGACAATAGTGTGGTGAAGGCCTGGGGAAGGGGTGGGAGTAGGGTGGAGGGGGTCAATGGGGGTTACAAAAGAGGACATCTGTAATACTTTCAACAATAAAGATAAGTTAATTAACAAATTTTGGTCAGTGATAGACCATATATATTTTTTTGGGGAAAAAAGTGACTTTCATCCTCTGCTAGACAAGAATTCTGGAAAAAGAATCCTAGAAGAAGCCTCAACTCAGCACAGACGAAAAACACCACACCCAAACCCAAGATCCTTGTTTAAGGAGCAGCCACTCTCAGCCAGATGTCCTTTCTTATTAATGGAACTAGGAACCCGGAAACAACCAGGTTCTAGAACAAGCAACTTCATGGATTTTTGTAGGTTTACAGATTTAAAAGAAAAGTCAAGCAGGCACTCTCTACACAGGGCCACTGCTGTCACTTCCCACAACTGTGCTTGGCTTGTAGACAACCCAGTCCTCCTGAAAGAGGTCCATGGGAGAAGGACTATGGGATCTGTGCTTTCCTGACAGGTAAGAGGATGCACCTGCTCAGAGCCTATGGGACACACAGAGCAGCTGTTTTTTCTCATCTTGAACAAGCTAGATTTAGCAGGAAAGGAGGGGTGGAAGGAGAAAGCACAAAGAAACAATCCCACACCTGTTCGTTCACTTTTCAGAAACTCTCCTTCCAAGAACTTATAAGCATTGGAAAAGAATTGGGTGGAATTAATTTCAATTCCCTTAGGGGTTAGTGTATGGGTCTTGATTGCTGTTATAGACAAGCCTGCCTGCACTGCATCCAGTGAGGGATGGACTCACAACAGAGAACTCAACAGAGGCAATTAACACAGATCATTACCACCTCCCACTTACTGCCCTGAGCTTGGCCTAGATTTAGAAGACCTGGTAAGTACATATTTGGGGTTACCAAAGAGATCAAGGAAGAAATCAAAAACTTCCTGGGAACAAATGAAAATGAACACACAACAATCCCAAATCTATGGGACACAATGAAAGCAGTCCTAAGATGGAAGTTCATAGCATTACAGGCCTACCTCAAAAAACTAGAAAAAACTTCTAATAAACGATCTAACCCAACAACTTAAAGACTTAGAAAGAGAGCAACAAGAAAAGCCCAGCATAAGTAGAAGGAAGGAAATAATAAAGATCAGAAAGGAAATAAATGACATAGAGACTAAAATAACAATACCAAAAAAATCAATGAAACCAAGAGCTGGTTCTTTCAAAAGATAAACAAGATTGATGAACCGTTATCCAGACTCATCAAGAAACAAAGAGAGAGGAGCCAAATAAACAAAATACATATTTGAGACATATGTATAACCCATCTCTGACAAGACCAGACCAACTCAATGGGGACTTGACCCTTCTCAGATTACAGAATGATTGTTTGCCCATCAGTCTGGCTGTAGACAATGAACTCTAGGGATTCTGCTGCTCAGACCATCTTAGAAAGGAAGTAGGAGCTGGAAACACCTCCTCTGATCCCCTTCCATCTGTATAGAAATTGATTGTGGATGGCTCAAGAGGCCCGGAAAGCCCCTTGCTGTGAATTCTAGACCTGGTCAGAGCATCATAGGGCCCTTTCATGGATTCAGCCAAGGATCTGGTCATTGTGAATGGCAGGTCTCCCATCAACCTGAGCTTCTCAGACCTTTCCCCACCACCCAGGACTTACCACTGTGAATAACGGCATGTTCTCTCACAGATGAACCAGGCCACCAGCATGGATGGATATCCTGTCTCCTGTGTCAATGGTGAAAACCCATCAGCAGTTCCCACGTTGGGGATAACCCCTTATTTCTCTGACTGCTGCTCAGAGGCTGTGGGATATGGTACAAAAGGAACCAAATTTAGACTTAGAGTCTCTGCAATTCTGTGTGATTAGTGTCAGTTCACAAAGATGACTCATCTTCAATGACCTCACCTGTAAAAAAGGGGACCCGATAGTAGAGTTTTCTATCTTACAAGCTTGTGGCAAACATTGAGTAAAACAACATTGATTAATATGTGTTTTATAAATTTAAAAATATTCTTCAAAGTCACTGGCTGCCTCTCCACAAAGCAAATGATGGCAGACTGTTTATTCCAAAAGAGCAGATAAGGGCAGCCGCCCCAAGAATGCTGTAGATTCACCCCCAGGATTTTATCAGGTACCAACTTTGTGTCTGTCACAGAAAGGCTTAGAAAGAGGTAACTATCCTTCAAAATTATCACCCAGTTAGGAAGAAAACAAATGCAACACTTAGGAAGAGAGAATTCAGTGTGACTTGGGATATTGAGAGAAACTTTATGGAGGATGGGACTTGCAAACTGCATCTTGAAGGGAGACCAGATGCGGACAGGAAGAGAGAAAGAGGAAGTCATTGCACACATTTGGTATTATCTTTTGTGTAAATTGGGACAATATAAGTTTGTCAGTATCTTTTAGTTGTAGTATTAATTATTTCTCAGAAGTAGTTTTTATCCGGGTGAGAGACCATTGTATTTAACAATGTCTGGAGGTGGTAGAGAGAATGCAGAGGCCGCACAGTGCCCCGCCAGAGTGAACCTCATCCTGGATTCAGCTATCACAGGGGTATGCAGCTCTGCAGCCCCTCTGGACTGTAGAGAAATTTCTGCCATGGGGGCCATGGAAAAGATCAGAGTTAGAGGGGACTTGTGTTAATGAGCACCTACGAGATGCTGGAACTGCACTGAGCTTCTCACAACTTTGGTGTTATCATTGGCATTTTACTGGTGAGGAAAGTAAAGCCTTAGAGAGAAGTTCAGTAACATATAACACAGCCAGGAGTTCAAGTCTTTGGAAATAAACGAGAACAAACACTTGCAGGTGCTTTTATTTTGGGGGTCTGCTTGCATTCTTCAGATGTCTCCATGGAAGCCATTCTGAAGCTCTTTGGAGAATACTTCTTTAAATTCTGTAAGAAGTCTGGCTATGACCGGATGTTACGAACACTGGGAGGAGATCTCACGGAGTTTATTGAAAACCTAGATGCCCTCCACAGTTACCTTGCACTTTCTTACCAGGTAAGGTGATCTGAGACTGGTCTTGGTGGTCCTGACAGGAAGCAAGTGCCTGTAGGCCTTCTGGGTCATTCGGGGCCATCTCCCTACCTCCCCCAAAAGTGGGAAGTTGCAAGGGGCCTACAGAATCCTTGGTACCTGGTGTCAGTGGACTGAGGCGTTTTCTGTGGAAAGGAACAGAAAATTAATACCTGCTGACCACTTTTATAAGTTAGCCAACAAAGAAGGGCAAGCTGAAGAGGTCAGCTTTGAGATGGAGGATGGCCTATTTTGATGGGGATGGTGTGGGTTTGGAATTAAATCTAGAAGATTGATCACAATGGGAACAAAGGCTGGGGAACAGCCAGGTTTCAGTGGATTTGCAAAATCTCTCCTCAGGTTTCCTGGCCCGGATGAAGCTGATAAAAAGCTTCTGTAGCCAGATTCATTTACTCATGTATCAGAAGGAAAGACTTGACAGGGCCAAGAGCTGGAATCAGACACCATCCAACTCCGATTAACCCATGGGGCAACTGCCTGAGGTTTTAGCAAACTAATTTCTCTATTGGGGAATGTCTTTCTGGAGTTCATGCCTTGGTTTTCTTGTTTGTAGAGATTGTTGGAAATTCAGACGCCTAGACTCCCTTTTCTGTGTTAGAAAAGAAAGTGCTTTAGTGAAAAAATGAAGCTGCATTTAAACATCTCATAATAATAGTTCCTTATTTTATATTAGATAGTTTATATTTATTTTGAGAGCCATTTATAGTTTGCCATTTTTGTATTTAATGCTCACAACCACCTTTGAAGGATTGTCCTGAAGATGAAATGGGATGATGTATGCTAAAATGTCTCATGAACCATAGTGCACCCTTATAGATGTTAAAAGGGATAAGTATTCTTTTCTCCAGTTCTCAGATAGGGAATAAGAGGCTTAGAACCTCAATTGACTTCTAGTAGGAGGAGTGGCTGGATCTATCCTGTTGTTATCATGTGAATGACTCCAGAATAGAGAGAGTGAAAGGAGCCCTGGCTAGGGGGTCAGGCACTGCCCCTTACTAGCTGGTGATTCCAGACAAGTTATTTACCCTCTCTGGACCTCAAATTTTTCACATATTTATTTAATAAATATGTATTTAGCATCTACTATGTGCCAAGCACTTTCTTAGGCAGTAGATACAGAGAAAAAAAGGAATAAATAGGGGGGGAAAAAATCCTTCCTCATAGTGATGTATCGATTAAAGAGATAACATGTGAAAGTCCCCAGCATTGTAACAAGACCAGAGAAAGCATTCCATTCTTAATAACTTTCTTCCTTCCCCTCCTTTTCTCTCTGTTTGATATGGCTAGTTCTAAAATTCAGATAATTTGTATAGGAACTTTCTGTCAAATTTCTTAGCTAAAGCTCTACAATTAGAATATGAAGAAATATAGCTAGACCCTTTCAATAATCTTTCATAATATTTTTAAATATCATATCTTTCATCTGAAAATTTGGCTAATATTTTATGTCACAGTTCTGGAGAACACATTAATAGTCTTCCATTTATTCATTAAATCAAAGACATTATGGAATATCTTTTATGGTCCAGATATTGCTCTCAGCATGTTCCTGTCACTATTATGATAAGAGGAAAAGGAATCGAGGTTCTGAAGTCCCAAGTCCCTTGTTTCTATACCCATTTCTGCTACCCTTCCTCTGGTAGTTACTTCTTCATATGCCAAAACCAATGCTACAGAAGCAATAGAATAGAACTTCTCTAGGGGTGAGTGAGGATATTGTGCATAAGATAAGTAAAATACATAAATGTTGTCATATGCAAGTTGAAATAAAATACAAGCAATGATAACTGATAGCTATATAGTGCTGCTTTATACTGGGCAAAATATAGTCTTTTTAGGCAAAAATAAAATAATGTTAACTTTTCTTTATGGCTGTCTAGTAATTTGGCAGTCCCTTAAGGCACTTTTTTCTGGTTATAACTGTATACTTTTAATCTTGTTATTTTTAGTTAACTTTCACTGAGCACTAATTATGAGGCAGGTATTGGGTTAATTTACAAATGTTGAATTATACTCTTAATCCGTAAGATCAGGTACCCTTGCTTTTCCCACTACACAGATGAGAAAACTGAGATCCAGAATGGTCAAGCGACTCTTCTAAATTGCCCAGGTTGTGGTGGCTGAGCTAGTACCCAAACCCAGGTGTGCCTGACTCCAAAGACCATGCTGTGGTTTGCTTCTCATTACTTTCCCTTTGCTCTGATTCTCCACTTTTATAAAGCCCTATTTTAATCAAGAAATAAAAGTATAATTATATTATTCAAAGAGTCAGAGTCACTAATCAGAAGAATTGAAAGCACAAACTTTAGGAAGTATTTCTGAGAAATGGCCTAGGCTGGGAACAAGACATGAGGGGCAGATGGTCACCGGAGCGTGGCAATTTTTATTGTAGCACTTCTGTACTCCGTTATTTTTCCCACTGTGTAGGGTTTGGATATAATTTTTTAAAACAACTTTTAATTTCCTGTTTTATCAAATGATTATATATGTGCTACTTCAAATCTTTTTTAGATTCTGTCAAGATACAAACATACATACACACAAACACATACTATATGTATATACTTTTGGAAAGATAAAATAAATATTTGGGAAAAACCCCTCTCATTTTAACTGACAACCCTTGCAACACCCCACCACCACCGCCACCACCACCACCTCCCACACATCCACACTCCACCATGGGGAGTAATGGATAAATACTTTTGTTTCTCAAAGCCTTAAAAAGCATAATTTAAACCATCTCAGAAAGAATGTTCCTCCATAATATTTCCTCACTCAGACCAAAAGCTGAGCCAGGGTGCTAAGCTGCCTGCTGATCAAGCAGGAGACCGCCCCCTCCCCAGACACAGCCCTCCTCCTCATTTCCCGACATACATCTAACATGACATGGTGCATACTTGGATGGCAACGTTTATTCATGGAGAAAGATGATCTCTGCTGAGGTATCTTTGATTTTTCAAATGTGAAATTTTTCACCACACAGGGCATTATCCTTCCAGAACAAGAAATAAACTCTTCTCCACTTACAAATTCCTCTGGGCCCCTGATCTTCCTGAAAGTAAAGATATCCATGGTCACTTGGTCACAAACCAAGCATGGAAACCCCTGGTTTGTGGGGGAAAGCAACGTAACAGGTGGAAAGGCTCAGTTGAAGATCAAAATGTTCTACCATTAATTTAGCCTTAACTGCCCTAAACCTCAGTTCCCTCCTCTTTAAAATGAAGATCATACTTACATATAGAGTTGGTTAGGAGGTTAGTTATAATATAAAATTCCTGACATAGAAGGGTAGATTTTATTTTTATATGATTAGAGGGGAGTTTGGAATATAGTTCTGTGTGACGTAATGGATAAATACTTTTTTTCACAAAGCCTTATAAAGCATAATTTAAACAACTTACATTCACTGGGAAAAACATGCTGTGTCTTTTAATTAGGAGATGAATGCACCATCATTTCGTTTGGAGAGAGGAGCAGACAAGAAAATGCTTCTCCATTACTACTCTGATAGAAGTGGTCTGTGCCACATTGTACCAGGTATGGGGACAGCTTAACCAGTCCCACAGCTATGAGGTCTCTGTGGCTTTCCTCACAAATTCTCCAGATGGCTCAGACCCAGCTGTGGGTAAGAAGTTAAAACTACATCTCTTCTAGCATCTGACTCTTTGCCATCTGGTCATTACTCCCAAAGTTCTGAGTCTTTAACTTTTCAAAGAGCCAACAAAAAAGGAATAATTTTCACTTTTGTTTCAACATTGAAAATTATAATGGTTTTTACATAGCTGTGATAATTCTGCAGGTATTGTTTTGTGTCAACTTCTTTTTTTTTGGTATTCAGCATTATAGAAAAATCATCCTTCCCATTTGATAGTCTGCAAAACCACCATCTTCAGTGGCTGAATGATATTCAACATTGTAATTGAGCAGTCTCGTATTGTTGAGACTTTAGTTAATACTACTGTTGCTATTGTAAACAGTGCTGTGATGAACATCTTCAGGCATGCTTTTACAATTTCTATGTAACCCTGGAATAGATTCCCTGAGGAACACTTAAAAACATGATTTTTAATGCTTTTACAATGAATTTTGCTTGCTTACATTATCTCCAGAGTTTATTTATTTGTTCATTTAATAAGTTAAATACTTTCCTGAAATAAACCAATACACAAATAGATGCTGAACTAGAAATTAGAGTGGCAGGGATATATTTGGTATCCAGCCATGTATAACTTAAATCTCTGTAAAGTTATTTTATTTTTAAATTTTATTAATCTGTCATATGCTGCCTATCTTGAGGCAGGGCATGGACTTGGTGAACTCTGGAATATTCATCAGAAGTTGTATAACTTGATTATTTTGTGTTTTTTTGCTGATACAACTGCCTTCTGCCAACCCTCGCTAATAGGTGTTCTTCTGCTGGCTACAGGCATCATTGAGGCTGTGGCCAAAGACTTCTTCAACATGGACGTGTCCATGGATGTTCTTGACATGAATAAGGAAGAGGAGAGGACAGGGAAGAAGGAGCACGTTGTGTTTCTGATTGTGCAGAAGCCTCACAGACAGGTGAGAAGGACAAAGCTAAACAGGCTACAGGATGGTCAGGACATTCAGAGAGACCAAGAGGTACTGGGTTTACTGTGTCTCCAGAAAGCACAGTCCCTCCTAGTGGGAGAGTCAACTGGACCTTCTAATAATGGACCTAAGGCAGGGTTTCTCATTCTTAGCTATTAACATTCTGGACCAGATAATTCTTTGTTGTGATGGGCTGTCCTGAGCACCTCTGGTCTCTACCCATTAGATACTAATAGCGCTCTGTCCCCTAATTGTGGCAAAATCACTCCTGGTTGACAACCACTTGTTTAAGGTAACCTGGCTATATGTTGGGAAGCTTTCTGGGGTGTACCTTAGCCTGGAAATTTTTCACCTATAAAAATACCAACATAAAGGGTTTGAAATTTGGACCTTGTGGCTTATTTTGCAACCTTTCCAAAATAAATTGACCTTTCAAGTCCTCAGTGCCCATTTGTGCAGCTGGGGCCAGTTAGGGGTCTGGTGTCAACTCATGACCCTGTGGTTGGCTGCCTCAGTTGTGACTCATAGATTTTCTATTATTTGTTTAGGTACCACATATATTAGATGCACAGCTCTCCATCCACATAGCTTGTACAAATATCCAGATAAGTCTGTGATTCCTAGAGTGCACAGTGTTTATATCTTACAGCAATCAAAGCCCACCTCAAGTCTGTTCACAGCAGAATCTTCAACCACAGGAAGAAAAGATGATCATGTGTGATTTTCCTGCCAGCTCCATCTTGAGATTTTATACAAAGTGTTTGCTGCTTTTGAGAGAGAAACAGCATGAGGATTAATTCTATAAAAATCTTGGGGCTATGAAGTCTTGGTAGGATTGACCTGCAAGCCCTTGCTGTTCCTGTGGCCCCAGTCACAGCAAATGGGGCTTGTGTGTCTCTAGTTCCATGACCAGTCAAGTGACCAGGCATGCATGCTTCTCCCCCTGTCATCTGCAGGCCCTCAAGGCAGCTTTGGTAAGGAAGAAGGAGAAATATTTGAGTGTCTCTGTTTGTCCTGTGAAGAAATCTCACTGGGAAGTTGTGAGAAGTATAGTCATGTTTGGAAAAGGTGAGTCAGCTATTCTCCCAACCGTGGCTCTCAGAACACAGTGATTGGTGCACACAAAAGGGCAAAGTCCTCAATGATTGCTATGTCACTGATTCTGCAGAACTTATATTTGGCTGATATGGTTTTTCACTTTAAAATGTCAGACTCTAACTTGCCTCCCTTTACCCCTTTGATTTGTACTGGGTGACATGGAGACACAGTCTCCCCTGTAATAAGGGAAAGCCACTGGAGAGAGAATTAGAATCAGTCCCACTGGGTGACTGTTGAAGAGAAGGAAGATGAGTACTGACATATTATCAAGAATAATGAATTTTCCATGGCTCCTCAGGCCTTCTGGACTGGCATGCATTTCTGGCCTAGAAGTCTGTGGATAATAACCATGGTGTCCAGTAATGCAAAGGACACTGGATCAAGAGCCAAGAGAGCAGATTTCTGGCTCTGTCCCTGAAGAGCTATGTGACCTTGAACAAGGTCCTTCATCTTCCACCTGAAAAGTGAAGGCAGTAGTGTCACTGCTGGCTGGTCTCATGATCAGCACCTAATGCCTAAGTCAGAATAAGGGCTCTGACCCACAGGGAGAAGGGAGCTAACGTGTCCTCATCATGTCCCCATGGATCATGATGACATGCATCTGGGAGAAGGTCTGCAGGGCTTAAAGGACTGCATTTTAAGTCCCTCAAGCCACCGAAAGCGACTCAAACACACAACTGACATCCTTTGTCTAGGAGATTTTCATATCAAAAAGGCTCCATTTCGAATCTCTACCCTCTGCCAAATAGGGCTGTTGGTTAAATTTTAATGTGCCACCCAAAACTGTCAGTCTCAAAAGCTCCATGGCAAATGTCCCTGACGCTGGGCTGGGCACACACACTCTGCTCTGTGAGCTCATTGTCTGGCTGTCACTGTTTCAATGCAGACTCTGTTTTCATGGCAAGACATACTCAATTGGCCTAGAAACTCTTCAGCGGCAGGCAGAAACTTGGCGGGGGCAGGGGCGCTTCTCAACCTGGTAGCAAGTTTTCTGTTTGTTTTAATTTGGAAGAGGAATTGCCATGGCCATCTGGAGATGCTGAGGGAGACTGCAAAAGAGTGGGGACTGTATTTTGCTCATGAAACATTTAAGATACTACCCTGAACTCCACTCTGTGCCAGGTTGGCAGGGCAAGTTGTCTGTGAACAGGACTCTTTTTTTTTTTACATCCAGGGCATCTCCTGAACACCTTTGTGCCGATTTATCCCGAGCGGCTCTGGATTGAAGTTAAGACATTTTGCAATGCTTTTCCTTTCCACATTGTATTTGATGAATCAGTAAGAGGCCCCTTTTCTCTGTAACTTGGATTGGGGATAGTCTGGGGAGCTGAGCATGTTGTATAGTCTTTATGGCAGGTAGGGACTTTCAAGTCCTTGAGGAGTCCCCAGGGTTTGGGGGCCAGGATTTAGCTTGGTAGGACCACCAACTTCCTTTACATTGTGGCAGTCTCCAGAAACCAGAATACAGAATCTTCTTGGTAAATATGGGAAGATGCAGTGCCAAGAGGTCTGAACTAATGAGTGCGTAAGAAAGCTTACCACTAGAGAAAAAGGAAGTGACACTAAAATTCACAATCCCAAGAGACAAGGGAACACAGTGGCAGAGGAATTCTAAACATGACCACTCATCATCCTTATGGCCACCATGGGTGTGTCAGTCCTACTTCCTGCATCTTGAAGGTGGGGAGAGGTCTGTGCCAACTTATGCCACTGCTCTGTGGGTGTTGTGAGAATGACCATTAACAGGTAATGTTTGGTCATTTTCAATTTCCTTGGATAAAATATATGTCAACTGCATTGATTCTGAATCCAATTAAAGGTAAATTAGGCAAAGTAATTTGGTCCAAAAGATTAATTGAAATGCTATCAGTCACTGTGATTTTCTGTTATTTATTTGAACACATAGATATGCTGACTTATGACGGGTGAACTGCTGGTTACAGATTCTATGACATTTACTCATTTGAGCATCATCTCTGCTTGCCAAGAATTGATCTAACAGAGGAAATCAAACACTCCATAAGAAATAATTAGGGAATTATAAAGCAATGCGCCTCAGCTTTTCCCTAGTGCCATGAGGATATTATTATTGCCACTCTTAATTTTAAATTCTGATCTACTTTTAAAAATCCATTTCTTTTTAAGTTTTGGTCATAGAATAACAGAAAATTTAATAATACTAATTTATAAAGTTAGGTTGATTTCTATAGCCTCCCAAAGGCCCTGTGATTAGTAAGCTAAGTATTCTTAGACAGCTGGTGCTAGTATTGGGCATTTCATGTAAAGGGTACTCATTTTTCTCCTTCCTTCACCCAGCCTGGGTATTAGGTCCAATTCTATGCTATAGAATTTGCTAGTTTCTTTATTAATTAATTCTAAACAGAAGGAGAGAGAGAGAAAGAGAGACAGGTCTCACAGAGCTAAGGAAGCACTATGAGCCCAATAGAGAGTTTTAACTTCTGTTTCTTGTTAGTCAGAGATATGCTTTTCAGCAGTTAAATACTATTGTTTTCTCTTTCAGAGATTAGCTGAGGATTTGATTTGTAAAATAATATTTATTACTTCCCTGGTGTTTATTCCATTACTGGCCCTTTCTCCCTTAGTGACTCACACAGCATGGCCAGGATATTTCTAAGGGAAAGTTAATGATGCAGGTTGGTTTCCATTCCTTAGTCTTACATTTGTCCTCTGTGCATAGCTGAGGGTCAAGCAAATGGGAGTGAATATTCAGAAGTATATCCCAGGACTCCAAACCCAGAAGATTCGATTAGATGAGTATTTCTCCATCGTTCATCCTCAAGTTACCTTCAACATTTCCAGCATCTGCAAATTTATCAACAGTCAATTTGTCCTGAAGGCACGGAGAGAAATGATGCCTGAAGCATGGAAAAGTCAACCCACACTCAAACTCCGAGGTACTAACTCACCCCTTTCCCCTTGCTCTCTGGTGTTTGAGAGATTGGTTAGACAGGAAAGAGGCAGAGCCTTCCAATTTCCTCTAAAAAGCTGGATAAAATGTGGGGCAAGGACTTCATTCAGAACACTTGTTTTTCTGACATTTCTATTTGGCTTGATCTGTAAACAATGTATTTTATTTCCTCAATTATTTCTGGTTTCGACATAAATGAACTCTAATTATATATCATGTTACTATACAAAAGACAGACATTAAATTAGTACCAATAGTACCATATGCACTCTAAAAATTTTGCTAGCAGAGGTCAGAATTTTATTTTATATAAAACAAAATATATTTGTATATTTTATAATATATATAAAATAAGATGTTTATATATTTTATAAAATATATAATGCACATGGTACTACTGGTACTAATTTAATGTCTGTCTTTTGTATAGTAACATGATCATTTTACCTACAGTTAATAGGGCACACATTTTACTTTCATTTTAGTTTCTTTGTAGTAAAATTTACATACCATAAATACAACAAATCAGACATTTAAAAAGCTACTGCAAAGATTAAAGTATCAAATTCAATTCAAACTATAATAAATAGAGATGCAAAAAAACCAAAAGATCTAAAATATGACAACAATGACATAAAGCGTGGAAGGAGAGTAAAAATATAATTATAATAGAATATACTTGAACTTAAGTGCCTATCAGCTTAAAATAGGCTGCTATAGGTAAGGAACGATACACATAAACCTCATTAGAAGCCACAAACCAAAAATCTACAAAAGAAATACAAAGAATAAAAAGAAAGGAAATGAAAAAAATGCTCTAATGAAAACCAAAATACCATAAGGGAAGAGATCAAGAAAAATAAATGAACAGAGGAGAACTATAAAAACAACCAAAAGACAATTAACAAAATGGCAAGAAGTACAAGCTTGCCAATAATTACTTTAATGTAAAGGGATTAAATGCTCCAATAAAAAGACATAGTTAGGGTGGCAAAATGGATTAAGAAACTTGACCCATCATAAGTTGCCTACAAGAGACTTGTTTAAAAACAAAACAAAACAAAACTCCACACAGACTGAGAGTGAACAAATAGAAAAAGATATTCCATGAAAATATAAACAAAAAGAAAGTTGGAGTAGCAATACTTTTATCAGACAAAACGAAAATGGAATTGCTGGATCTTATGGTAATTTTGTTTTTAATTCATTGAAGAATTGCCATACTGTTTTCCAAAGCTTCTGCACATTTTACATTCTCATCAGAAGTGCACAAGAATCCCAAGTTGTCCGCATCTTCATGACCACTTGTTATCTTCTGTTTTTTTCATTTTCTGGGTTTTGTTTGTTTTTATGATTGCAATTCTAATGCAGTTTTAACTGGTATCTCATTATGGTTTTAGTTTTCATTTCCCTAATGACTGAACATTTCTTTCTCTTTTTAATAAAAAAGAAATTTTTTCTTTTTTAAAAATTATCTTTATTGTTGAAAGTATTGCAATGTTCCTTTTCCCCCCCCAATTAATCCCCTCCATCTGGCATCAGCTCCCCCCACCCAGGCCTTCTCCACACTGTTGTCTGTGTCCATGGGTTATGCATATATGTATACAAGTTCTTTGGTTAACCTCTCCCCCCCCGCCACTGCATTCCCTCTGAGATTTGTCTGTCTGTTCCATGCTTCTATGTCTCTGGATCTATTTTGTTATCAGATTATTTTGTTCATTAGATTCTACATATGAATGAGATCATGTGATACTTGTCTTTCTCTGAATGACTTATTTCACTTAGCCTAATACTCTCCAGTTCCGTCCATACTGTGGCAAAGGGTAAGAGATGCTTCTTTTTTACAGCTGCACAGTACTCCATGGTGTAAATGTATCACAGCTTTTTTATCCACTCATCTACTGATGGGCACTTGGGCTGTTTCCAGATCTTAGCTATTGTAAACTGTGCTGCTATGAACATAGGGGTGTGTATATTCTTTCTGATTGGTGTTTTGGGTTTCTTAAGATATATTGCTAGAAGTGGGATCACTGGGTCAAATGGCAGCTCCATATTTAATTTTTTGAGGAACCTCCACACTGTTTTCCACAGTGGCTGCACCAGCCTGCATTCCCACCAGCAGTGTACTAAGGTTCCCCTTCTCCACATCCTCACCAGTACGTCATTTGTTGATTTGTTGNCACTTGTAATTTGATGAATTGCTGATGGTAGCAAAGTGTGAGGTGATATCACAAGTGTGAGGTGATATCTCATTGTTGTTTTAATTTGCATCTCTTTGATTTTATACATCTCTTGGCCATCTGTCTGTCCACTTTGGAGCAGTGTCTATTTCGGTCCTCTGCCCATTTTTGAATTGGATTGTTTGTCTTCTTTTTGTTAAGTTGTATGAATTCATATATATTTTGGAAATTAACTCCTTGTCAGATGTATCATTGGAAAATATGGGCTCCCTTTCATTTTGTTTATGGTTTCTTTCCCTGTGCAGAAGCTTTTTATTTTGGTTCAGTCCCATTTGTTTAATTTCTCCTTTGCTTCCCTTGCACTAGGAGATGTATTGGCAAACATATTACTCTAAGAGATGTCTGAGATTTTGCTGCCTATGGTTTCTTATAGGATTTTTATGGTTTCATGACTTACATTTAAATCTTTTATTCATTTTGAGTTTATTATTGTGCATGGTGTGAGTTGGTGGTCTAGCTTCATTTTTTTTGCATATATCTGTCCAATTTTTCCAACACCATTTATTGAAGAGACTGTCTTTACTCCATTGTATGCTCTTGCCTCATTTGTCAAATATTAATTGAGTGTAAAAACTTGGATCCATTTCTGAGTTCTCTCTTCTGTTCCATTGATCTGTATGTCTGTTCTTGTGCCAGTACCAGTCTGCTTTGATTACAGTGGCTTTGTAGTATAACTTGATATCTGGTATTGTGATCCCTCCAACTTTGTTCTTCTTTCGCAAGATTGAAGTGGCTATTTCATGTCTTTTTTGGTTCCATATAAATTTCTGGAGTGTTTATTCCAGATCTGTGAACTATGCCATTGGTATTTAAATAGGGATAGTATTGAATTTATAGATTGCTTTGGGTAATATGGATATTTTAATGATGTTAATTCTACCAGTCCATGAATGCTGTGTATTCTTCCACTTGTTTATATCTTCCTCTATCTCTTTTATCAATGCCCTTTAGTTTTCTGAGTATATGTCTTTTATCTCCTTGGTTAAATTTATTCCTAAGTATCTTAATTTTGTTGCAATAGTAAATGGGATTATTTTTTTTTAGTTTCCCTTTCGATGAGTTCACTATTGGTGTATAAAAATGCCATCAATTTCTGGATGTTAATTTTGTATCCTGCTACCTTGCCAAATTCATTTATTAAATCTAGTAGTTTTTTGATGGAGTCTTTAGGATTTTCTATGTACAATATCATGTCATCTGTGAATAATGATAGTTTTACTTTCTCTTTTCCAATTTGGATGCCTTTTACGTTTACTTCTTGTCTGATCGCTGTGGCAAGGACTTCCAGTACTATGTTGAATAAGAGTGGTGAAAATGGACATTCATGTCTTGTTCCTGTTCTTGGGGAAAATGATTTTAGCTTTTGCTCATTGAGTGTGATATTGGCTGTAGGTTTGTCATATACGGCCTTCATTATGTTGAGGTTTGAGCCCTCTATCCCCACTTTGCCAAGAGAGTTTTTATCAAAAATGAGTGCTGAATTTTGTGGAATGCTTTTTCTGTGTCTGTTGATACAATCATGTGATTTTTGTCTTTCAATTTGTCTATGTGATGTATCACATTTATTGATTTGTGAATATTGTATCAGCCTTGCATCCCTGGAATAAATCCCACTTGGTCATGATGTAGGATCTTTTTAATATATTACTGGATCCGATTTGCTAATATTTTGTTGAGGATTTTAATATCTATGTTCATCAGGGATATTGGCCTATAATTCTCTTTCTTTGTAGTGTCTTTATCTGGTTTTGGAATTAAGCTAATAGTGGCCTCGTAAAAAGTTTGGAAGTATTCCTTCCTCTTGGATTTTTTGGAATAGTTTGAGGAGAATAGGTGTTAGCTCTTCTTTGAATGTTTGGTAAAATTCTCCTGTGAAGCTGTCTGGACCAGGGCTTTTGTGTGCTGGAAGTTTTTTTTATTACTGTTTCAATTTCATCTGTAGTTATTCACCTATTCAGGTTTTCTGACTCTTCCTGATTGAGTTTTGGAAAGTTATACTTTTCTAGGAATTTGTCCATTTTTCCACATTGTCCAGCTTGTTGGTATATAGTTGTTCATATTTTTTTTTTATAATCCTTTGTATTTCTGTTGGTTTAGTTGTTACTTAACCTCTTTCATTTCTGATTTTGTTTATTTGGGTCCTCTCTCTTTTTTCCTTGATGAGTCTGGCTAAAGGTTCGTCAATCTTGTTTATCTTTTCAAAATACCAGCTCTTGATTTCATTGATCTTTTGTACTGTTTTTTTAGTCTCTATGCCATTTATCTCTGTTCTGATCTATATTATTTCCTTCTAATTACTCTGGGCTTTTCTTGTTGTTCTCTTTCTAAGTCTTTAAGTTGCAGGGTTAAGATAGTTTATTAGAAGTTTTTCTTGTTTCTTGAGGTAGGCCTGTAGTGCTATGGACTTCCTTCTTAATACTGCTATCATTGTGTACCATAGATGTGAGGTTTTTCTGTGTTCATTTTCATTTGTTTCCAGGAAGTTTTCATTTCTTCCTTGATCTCTTTGGTAACTCATTCATTGTTTAATAAGATGTTATTTAGCCTCCATGTGTTTAAATGTTTTTGAATGTTTTTATTGTTGATTTCTATTTTCATGCCATTGTGGTCTGAGAAGATGCTTGATGTAATTTCAGTTTGCTTTAACTCTTAGAAACTTGTTTTGTGTCCTTACATGTGATCTATCTTTGAGAATGTCCCATGTACACTTGAGAAGAATGTATATTCTATAACTTTGGGGTGAAAT